TCTCCTCTCTTAGTTGCCTCGTATGCAAAAAGGATGCCTTTAAGGCGTAGTGGTCAGCCGTCATAAATCTCGTGCTACCTGCCTTGTAACCGAACCTCGACATGTGAATAAATGCAGATACTTTGTGCAAATTTATAAACTGTTGATGAAATGATGAAATCCACCAACGTACACAATATTAGTACTAACTTTAGTGCCCTCGAGATCTACATTTGGTTCTGGCACGGTATTCCAATCATCCGTTAAAACTCCCTGAAAGTCTAATCCACCGAAAAAGAGATTACAGCACTCTTTGTCGTTATTGGATGCATAAACCATAGCAAAACGTAACATCACATTTTATAGTAACAGCCACCATACATAGCCTACCAGATGAATCTACGTGCATAAAAGTTTACTTTTCCAACAAAGAACAGTTAATTACAAAGTGCTGGGAAATATGTTAAGAAAAAGTGGAACTCTCTTCAACAGAATATTCTCATGGCCCCTGGGAATCAAATGTATATCTGGTACACAGCGACGAGGCGCTGAAGACAAACGAAATAGTCTGTATCTTCTTGACTCAGATTTCTGGTCTCATGCATTCAAGCAACACATCGTTATTTAGTGGCATTGCAAACCGGGATAAAAAATGTTTGAGGGAGGACATGGGTGCATTTACCCAGCGAATTATAGTCCATTTTGGTCTTTATTTTACCCATCATGGCTCAAGCCTCCAAAATTCCAATTAAAATATTTCAAAGTGAGAAGGGAATTGTCGGTCACTGGAAAAGTTATCTTGAACGGGCAAATGGTTTTCGCTACGCTAACATAAAGTTGGAAAGTCTTTTGTACTGCATTTAATATTCAAGGTCCCCGAGTCGACAGTAAAGACACCCTCTGTATTTTTGCACTTTTACACTTTCCATTTCTGTTTATCTTTTGTATTAAATGGTGAAGTGTATATTGTATCCAGTTTTTTGAAGTAGAATTTCTTCACTTTGAGGAACATCGTTGCATTTCTGTTGGGTTGAGTTTAACTTGGACCGAGTATTTTTTTTCCTACTATAGAACCTTTCCTAGGTTCTGCTATCAGAACCTTTGCTACAGGACGATAAGTAGAAGGGTTCGATTTTTGGTTAAATCAGATAAATAGAGACCAAATTCACGAGCAGAGACTGATTTGTTTCTTAGTGGCGATTCCCATCACTGCGATTTTGGTATTCTACTCTGTGGCACAATTCTATCAACAATTTGCGCCTCATTATCCTATTTTTTCTCGTAATATTATACAATCATTTATCTTTAAGAACCGCGACTATTGCACGTTGCGTTTTTGTTCCATGTTAAAAATGACTGTTTTTTTTTGTATCTACTGCCATAGGACCAGGTTCGAAACGAGGTGATGCATTTCAAGCTAATTATCCCAATAGTCATGCTTAGTTATCCGATTGAAGAGAGAAAGAAAGACGGCAAAGAAAAGGTTAGTTTCGCGAAATCTTTTTAAGTCATGTAATTTATTTAGAGAATTAATCGTTGGTTGAAAATTTTGGATTACATTGACCACATTTTTAGAATTTGTCAGTGGTTCATTATATAATCAAAAATATAGACAATAGTATAATCATTGATAGATTTTTTAAAATTTTACATATAATAATAACAATAAAAGTTGGTGTTTTTCAATAAATAAACAAAACAACTATTCAATGATTGAATTGTTAATGTCTTTTTTATATAGCAGAAAAAAGAATAGTATAGAAAAGAAACGGGTTACAGAAAAAAAAAAAAATTGAAAAAAAAACTCATACACTGGATTCTGGACAGAGAGAGAGAGAGAGTGAGAGTATGATTAACTTGTTATGATTAACTTGTTGTTAAATCGTCTCAGAACGATATATGACTCTTGCGATGGGGGAGGATAAAGATTTCTGTGCGTGGCTTAAAGTTTATAGTGGCGTTTATAGTAGTAGTAACAGTAGTAGTAATATTCGTGGTAGCAGAAGCAGCGGTACTTATATCAACAGTACATGTTAGCGGGGCTTTGTTCCAATCTCTGACGTCTTTTCTCCTTCTTGAGTCTCCAACTCGACTCTCCACTTTCTTTCTATCCCAACTCTTGTTAATTTCTTCTGTCTCTATCTTCCGTCTGCCTCGTCCGTCTGACCTCTTCCGTCTGTCTCTTTTTCAGCATATCTACGCGTTTATATAGAAAACCCGGCTGGTTATAACTGAACCTTGGCCCTACTACTTCGCATATGATTATCACGGGGTTTTGGCTGTTTCAACCAAAATCATGTGAATTCAAAAGTTCCTTCTAGCTTACTCAGCTCTATTTCAATTTTTAATCGATAAAAATTATTTCGACCATTTCCATTGTCTCACTGATGACCCAGATTCAATGGGTACAACTTCTGCCCTAGATCAAATTTCCCCATCAGTAAACAAAAATGCTCTGATCTAATTTCGCTGTTCAAATCTACTCCAATTTCATTTAAAAAAAAAAAATAAATATGTGTGTGTGTGTGTGTTTCCCAAACTCTCTCTGTCACATTTCCTCCCCTACCCATCTGTCATTTACTAGTAAATGACACACGAGCTTTTCATATCAACAAAATATGAGAAAACCCAGTCCAACATGCTTCTTACTAGGGTCTACTTAAACATACGTCTCTTCCAGCATGCAAAGGTAGAGTCCTTAGTTCTTCTTAGGGCTCATTATGCCCATTTACATTTTCATTGTCCTTACGATACATATGTACATGCAACTTCCGGTTAAAGTTCACTGTTTTGGTGATCTCGTGCAATAGAACCTTTTCACATAGTTCACTAGTTCGAGTGTTCTTTTTTTTTTTTTTTTTTTTTGAAGTTCGCAACACTCCTTACTAATTATTTCAGTCTCATTACTAAAAAAAAAAAAAAAAATTTGATTTATTTCGTAAATCTGTCCCTCCGATTTTGTCTCGCCTTCACAACAGGCTTTGTCGAATCTTTTGTTGGTTCAGGTCCTTCCACGACAATCGTGGACTCTTCTTCAATATCAGTTAGGGGTCCCAATGCACTCGGGTCGGACCTACCTTGGTAAAGTGCACTAACTGGAATCCCTCCTTCACTCATGCACTCCCGTGCCAGTTTATTCTGCCCGGTCGACAACACCGCACGCCTCTTCAACCACCACCAAACCAGCAAGGCCACGACTATCATTAGTATAATTCCCACAACGGTCGGCCAGGTTATTATAGGAAACCAATTTTCTCTCCAGCACGAATTTGGCGTACCTATCTTATTTTACTCCGACTTCAACCGTTCAAGATCAATCTTATCGATTGGCCTTAACAACGCCGGCATCTTTTCTAGCGACATCTTAGGAATCTCTCTTACAATGGGTTCCCACAATCCCGTCCATCCACTGGCATTCGTTCCTACCAGCTCTAACAAAGCCTCACTCTCTTCAAACTTCTCTTCTGCTTGGTAGTAGGGAGGTAAAGAGATAGATGGACCATGAGCTCCACAACCAATGGGTAGCTCTACAAAAAAAAAAAGGGGAATAACTCTTATCGTAGTGGTGGGCTTCCTTCACACACCTTAGATAATTCGATCTCTTCTTGTGTGGCCACCGCCCAAATTCCGTCAGAGACACTGGTTGCTTTAGGTAACATTACACTAGCCAACACCTCTACCTGACAATGATCTCTAATTCCTTCTTATTTTTCTTAAATAAATCTAGTACACACAGATTGTGACTACCTGTCACGTAAATTGGACTTATAGACCCACAGATACCTAAGGCATTATTCTTGCATTTTTCTGCTTCTCCCTTTGTTAATAGCATAAACTCTGTTCTGGCTAGGTTTAGGGCAACAAATTCCATCTCTACCTTGTACCTAGCCACCGCTCCTATCTTCGGCCTTAGTTTTGGATAGAGAAGGGGAAGATTCATCACCTGATAAATTTCAAAGGTACTATCTGTGTCCAGTAATGGAACCGGCACTAGCACTAGCAATTTATCATCTTCCAACAAGGTAGTACATCCAAAGGTGCTATAATATCTTCATAACTGCTGAGTGGGGGTCTACAGGTAATCTAAGGTGATGGGATAGTTTGGCTTGTATCTCCAGTAGTACTTTCTTTAATCGTTCTGGCGTTATTATACTTGGAGACAGGTGTCCCAGCGACAGCATGTCTAATTGTGCTCTCACATGCTCTAACAACACCGTTAAAGAGCGACTTGTACCTTAATCATAATTGAAAATACCTTTGCAAAAAACCCTCTAATTTCTGTAATTCGGTTGTTACAGACGTGGTCACATTTATCACTTCTTTTCTAAAAACCTATACGTGAGAAATCAACCAATTGATACTCCCTCTATTCTTAACCAATTCCAGCCGAGTAACATAGAGTATGGATACGCTCTCTTTAACCAACTGAGCCATTGCTTGTCTCTGTTCTACCACCTTTAATTTCCTCTTAATTACTCTTACTTCGTCTTCGGAGACTGTACCAAACAACACGCATAATGCCTTTCCCACTGCCTAATACTGCCCTCTTTTGCCTAGTCCGTAACAACTTTATTCCTTTCAAATGGTATCTCATATTGCTACATTGTCTCTCAAGTATTAGGGATTCCTGAGCTAAGGGGTATAATATACGGTGGTATTCCGGAGTCTGTAAATAGTCTCCGGCGACTTGTGTCCTGGCTGTATCTAGTTTGTCCACTTCGGTCTTCAACTGAACCAGTAACTTCTCATACGGCTGCAGGTCTATCACCAAAGTTATCAACCACTTTGATCTAGTTATAATCAATTCGCTAGTCATCTTAAATACAGTATTCTCACTGTATTCCCGGGTATTAGCTACCACAACTAGCATCGTCAGTACCACGAGCCTCCTCTCGTCCATGTCTGCAAAGAGATGGAGAGAATAATTGTCTTACTCAATCATTCTCTTATTGTTTTTATCGGGTGGTTACATCTTCGAGCGATACCTCAAGCACCGACCCACACCACCACCAGCGCCGTGCATGCATGGGGCCCGTCCACACAGTTCACCAGCACTGATGACAAATGCACAGTTAGTCCCAGACCGTCACTCATTCACCACAGCCACCTTACTGGTTTCACTTAATCTTTGGGCTCGGGCTGCACTGCCCCCGTCAATCGCAGTTTTAGTGGTAATTCCTCATTAACACTAGGTGCTTTTTCAGCCCACAATTTACTCTGCAATTGAGCTAACGGAATTTCATCCTCTTCTTCCCATTCACTCAGTTCTTCTTCCCTAAGTTAGGCTCAATCCCTGCTTCCTCAGAATGTCCCGCTGGGGTCCGATTTACCTCCCTCAGCCTTCAAAGGGTAGTTGGGCTAATTTCAATCTCCTCACTTCTTTCACTTTCACTCTTAGTCTCTAACCCTTCGGGTTCTACCAACGTAGATTTCCTCAGCCTTTTCTGTTGAGTTTTTACTACGGCTCCTTTCCATTCTCCTATTTCAGCTAGCTTTATATCATTCATGCATGCACTCTCTTTACCTGTCCGGTCAATTGGTCCCAGATCACAAAGGAAACCGGTTTTGTCTGCTCCATGATCCTATAGTATGGACTCCATCTCTGGTCCAATTTACCTTCACTCATGTATATTTTATAATACACTGGATCACCTATCTGGAAGGAAACTTCTTTATTTTTATTTACCCTATCGTTTTGCCTTTTCTGGGCTCTTTGAATCCTCCTCCTCACCTGCGTAAAAATTTTATGCTGTTGTTCTAAAACTATTTGGTGATGATCCTCTCCTAAATACTTCCTCCTAGGTCGTAACAGATTGTCTATAGGTAAGACTACATCCCTGCCATATATCAAGTAATAAGGGGAAAATTTTGTCGTCTCGTTCATCGAGAATCTCACAGCTGCTAACGCTTGGGTTACGAATAAATCCCAATTTTCCCTATTATCCTCTGTTAGTTTAGCTAACACATCAGCGAGGGTCTTATGAAATCTTTCTACCTTAGCGTTACTTTGGGGGTGATATGGAGAGGTGGTTATGTGCTGTATGTTTAATTCTCCCAATGTCTCTCTCATAATTTGATTCACATTCTCCGATCTATTATCGATAGCCAACTGTTCGGGGGGCCCCATACCTAGGGAATATTTCGTTCAGTATTATATCTGACACCGTTCGTGCCTTCTTATCCGGTATGACAAATGCCTCAGGTCAATTCGTCAGCCAGTCCACAAAACTCACTATGTAAAGATTACCTCTGTGTGTTTCTCCATATGGGCCGGAAATATCCATGCTTACTTTCTGAAATGGATAATTCGGAACATCCGTTTCTAATACTGGGGCAACCCTACTCCTTCGACTCTGTACTTGGCATGTTAAACACTTTTTACATGGTTCACAACATCATTAAACAACTTAGGCCAGAAGTAATTTCTCATTATTAATCCATACGTCTTATCAATTCCTAGGTGTCCTAATCTCCTATGGCATTGGTCTAGAATTTCAGCTCTCAACTTCTCAGGTATCACCATTTCTAAACTTACTTCCTCATCTCTTCCTGAAAGGTAATACAACACTCCATCGTGCACCATATATTTGGAGGTATGCCCTGCCTCTACCCTGGACCTGATAGTTGCTATCCTCTTGGCTTTGCCTAATAATCTCTCTCCAGTGGGGGTCGGAAACAATCTCCGTTTCACTCGTTTCCTGATCTTCCCAACCAAGTCTCTCCTTCAACGCCTGTGAATTGATCACATTAATTTGGAATGCTTTATCATCCACGCCTGGCTCCAACCTGACAGATTCGGTCTCTAATTTCCTCGGAATCCTCAATAACAGGTCAGCACAGGTATTATCCTTCCCTTCCAAATATTCTATTCTGCAGTTATACCCACTTAACTTCAATGCCCACTGTTGTATTTTCTTATTCGTCCACTCCGCCTCTAACAGATATTTGAGGGGTTGGTGGTCTGTTTTAATGGTAAACACAGCCCCACTCAAATAATAATCTAATTTCTGCACAACATACAGAATGGCGAATGCCTCTTTTTCTATTACTGGCCACCTTTACTGAGTCTTGGAGAGCCGATGAGGCAGAAAATAGATCGGCACTTCCTCAGGCACACCCGGTACTGGCCCATCTTTATCGGGACATGGTTGTGTAAGAACCGCCCCCATACACTTATCGCTAGCATCGGTGTACAGCACCATGGGTTTACTCAGGTCTGGATAGGCCAACAGGGGTACAGCTGTCAGCTGGTCCTTTAGAGCCTCGAATACACGCTGACAATCCTCGGTCCAATTAAACCTAGCATACTTCTTAGAGCTATTAGAGGGTCTGCTAGCCGACTAAATGCTGGTATGAACCTCCAGTAATATCCGATGGCTCCAATAATCTCTCTTACGGTCTTCGGTGCAGGCATGGCTCTTATAACCTCTACTTTGTCTAAATCCGTTTTTATTCCTTCTTTGTTTATGATAAACCCTAAGTACTTTGTCTCTTCTTTCATAAACTGACACTTTGATAATTTTAACTTTAATCCATGTTCTCTTAACCTATCGAACACCTTCTGCAGATGTTCAAAATGCTCCTCCGGTGATTTTGAAAACACCATGATGTCATCTAGATACGCCATGGCAAATGCCTCAGTGCCATTCAATACGATGGACATTAACTGACTAAATACACCCGGGGCGTTTGCCAGCCCAAACGGCATAACTCTAAAATTGAAGAGACCCATGTGGCAGGTAAAAGCGGTCTTTTCCTGATCCTTTTTGCTAAGTGCTACCTGCCAATATCCCGACCTCAAATCCAAGGTGGAAAAACATTTAGACTTTCCTAAAAGAGCTAGAATATCATCAATCAAGGGGAGGGGCACTGCCAGCGGTTTCGTAATGGCATTTAATTGACGAAAATCCACACAAAACCTATGCCCTCCATCCTTCTTTTCAACAATCACTATTGGAAAACTCCAGGGAGATTTGGATCTTTCGATTATCCCTGATTCCATCATTTCATTCACTGCGTCCTCTACTAATTTTCTTTTGTGGATTGGGGTCCTATACGGTCTTAACTTAATAGGTGGGTGATTACCCGTGTCTATCTTCATTTCAACTGTCTCCGTCTGTCCCAGTTCCTTATCAGTAATGGCTATTACCTCCCGATTACCGTTCAGCAACCCCCTCAATTTCCTCCTATAATGCTCAGGAGCTGTTATATCTTCATCCCTTATTTCATTGCTACCTGTCTTATTCCCAGGCCTATTCTCATTCCATACTCTCACCTGTTCGACTTCTCTCACTGGGCACGCCTGTGCCAGCTCCTCTCCCTGCTTTATTTTAATAGTTTTATTGGCAGTATTGGTTAACAGTAAGGGAACGGTCCCCGACCTCTTCACCAATGAATCACACACGGTTATTTCCCCTTCACTATTATCATACCTATCAGTAGGGACCACTTGGTACAGGTCACTGTTCAGCACTCCTTCTGTTATAATCTTGCCCTTCCCAGATACAGTAGTCCTAGGGGGAAGCTTTATATCTGTCTGGGCCACCACTGGCAATTGTTCATAATTATCCTCTCCCAACAGTATCCCTACTCCATCCAATGTTAGGGTGGCGGGGTCAAAATGGATCTGTGCCTTATTCTGCCTAAGCCAGTCAATCCCCAAAATTAGCTCAACACAAGTCAGGTGCCATATAAATCTTAAACTTACCTCTGGTTTTTGCCATCTGGAAAGGTAGCCATGTCATACCCTCTATCCTCATCCTGCTACTATTAGCCTGACTTACTAGTAGATCAATGGGACTAAGCTTCGTTTTCAGTCCCAACTGTCTAAAAACCTTGGAGCTAACCAGTGACACTGAAGCTCCAGTATCGACAAGGGCCTTCACCTTCTTGTCTCCCAGCAACACATTACAGGTGAAGTCTGGCCCTTCCTTCAGCAAACGGTATACCTGTGCCTTTCTCCTTCCTGTATGTTCTCTCCCTTCCTCCCGCCTTCTCGACAACCGAGATGTGGGAGTCGGTGACAGGAGTTCAACTTTTTCTTGGGGCTCCCTTTTCTGTCTAGGGGCCCTCCTGGGCGGGGTAGAGCTCGGAAAACTCTCTTTTCTCGGACTAGCAACCCATTTCTCCCCTCTATTCGAGTTAGGGTTGTTCCGTTCGGTGTGGTCCATCTTTCTCCTGCGAGGACAGGTTCGTCTCAGGTGACCCGCTCCTCCACAGCGCCAACACCTTCGCTCCTTACAACTGGCCAAAAAGTGCCCGACCACACCACATGTCCAGCATCTCAGAGGTCTTACTTGCACTGGGGCCACCCTGCCTCTTACTTTTTCACGGGTGACCCATCGGCGTTTCCCGGACCCTTTTCCTTCTCGGTAGGGGGCACCAGCGTATTAACTCACTTTATCCCCAGTTTACGGTCTCCCTCTGCCATACACCACCGAGCCTTGTGCCCGAACTCGCCACAAGTCATGCAGTTTGGCCCCAAAGACCTTGGGTCGCCTCCATAGTTTGTCGGACAGTCACGGGCCCGATGCCCACCATACTTGCAAGTCCAGCACACCAGCCCATATCGGCCCGGTGTGGGCTTGTGAAACCCATAACGCAGATCCCAGGCTCTCCTATTGGGAACTGCTTCAGCCTTCCAGTCCTCTTCCACCTCTTCTTTCGGGTCCTGTATCTGGATCCGCTCCCGGTCCTTTTTTTCATCACTACTTTGCCCCCCCCAGGGTTCCTACATGCAGCCCCTCTTATTCTATCCCAGAGTTGTTCGCTGGTCTGAGCCGCCTCTATGGCTGTGGCCAGGTTGACCGGTCCCAACTTCAGAACATTGCCCCTCAGGTCCCTGTCATTCAGCGCGTCCACATACACATCGGCCAAAAAGGCCTGAATAGGACCACTGTCCCGAGTTGCCATATCCGGAAAAGCTAATGCCACTAGCCCCACGAATTTTTCCCCAATTCCTCAGTAGTCTCTCCTTCTTGTTGCTGCAGCCGGAATAATTTCCTGACTGCCTCATTGGCCGTACACTCACTTGCGTATTGCCGCACCAAAGCGGATTTAAGCTTGGTCCAAGTCAGGGCTGGGTTTTCTTTGTACCACCCCCCCTATGAACTTGGACACCTGCCCCACTACATCGTCGTAAACTAGGAGCACCATTTGTTGGTCCTAGAGGCCATAGATCACCTGCTTCTTCTGAATGGACAGAATCCATTTGTGCAGGTTCGCAGTGTTTTCTTTATAAGTAGGTAACTTCATGCTATCTATCAGCCGCCTGAAACCCATCGATATTTCGGGGACTCCCATGTCCCTAAGGTCATCAGTGGCATCTGATCCTGCTACGCTCATCATACCATCTTATCAACTACCACTTTCCCATAAGAAGAGAGACCAACGACAGAACGAAAGGAAAAATACTTAACACGGTGGTGGCGCTTCAACTGCATACAAAGTTGACAAAGTCAAAACAAGATCAACAATATTACTGGCAGATCTAAGTGCAATGAGCGAAAAAAAAGAAACCAAAAAGTGACTTACCTGAGTTTCGCCGCTCCGTGTTTTGTTTCTTTTTCCTCCTTCTTTTGCTTCCTTCTCTTTTCCTCCTTATGTCTCCTTCAGACCAATATAGTCCAAAGACTAGAGTCCTTTCTGGTCTTATTCGGTCCCGACTGGATAAAACAAATGCAACCTTCTCTCCTCTTTCAGACGGCCGTGGTAATTCCCACGGGTCTATCTTAGTCACGGCACCAGTCTAACACTTTCGCCCCAGCCCCTCAACCTCCGACGTCTTACTCTCTGGGTTGAGGTGTCTACTCGGTCCTAACCGAACTTGAGGGAGTGGCCGTAGGTCCCCTGAGCATCCGTAGATTATTCGACCGGTCCACTGGTTTAATCCTGCTTCCTGCCCACGTTGTGTTTGGTTTGATCCAGAAAGCAGAAGTGATGTTCATCCATTCACAGTCGACTGAAGATGTAGACACGGCTGGAGAGTCTGCGCTAAGAAATTTAGAATGCAGCAAAAAAAAAAAAAAAAATAATATCTGCAGAAAGCCGGACAAACAACTATTCAATGAGTGAATTGTTAATGTCTTTTGTATAGCAGAAAAGAATAGTATAGAAAAGAAACGGGTTGTGAAGTAATTTCTGGGCTGCCCTCGTCCGTCTGCCCTTTTTCAGCATAATGCGTTTATATTGAACCTTGGCCCTACTATGCATGTGATTATCACGGTGTTTTGATGCAAGCAAAATCATTGAATAAAGGGTCATTTTAGTTTTAATTTTATTTCGACTATTTTCATTGTCAATGCAATGTGTGTGTGTGTGTATGTGTGTGTGTGTGTGTTTTCCCAAATGAACTTGAATCAAATAAAACAGGTTTTTCAGTATTGAGGCAGCAAGGTAGGTCATTTAAATTTTACAACAGGAAATGAACTTGAAAAAACTTTAAAGTAAAGCTCATATTCTTGCGAGACAATCAACCATCACATTCTGTTAAGTACTTTATCGGAAATCGTTTGAAAGACACTCTGTTAATGAAATGGCCCCCTGTCTCTCCAGATATTAATCCAATCGAAAACTTATGTTCCATTATTAAAAGCGATGTGCATGAGAATGGCAAACAATATTTCTGTGAAGCAATATAACTTGCTGCAAATTAAGTTAAAGCCGAAACAGCAAAAAGGCTAATAAAAGCAATGAATTAAAATATATAATGATTATTGAATGTCAAGGAACCCATATTATTATATAAAATAATAGCATAACTTATTCAGGTATATGTGATACTGTGTTAATGGAATATATATTTCTACGGCCTATATTTTTTGCTTTATATATAAATAAAAATGTATGCAGCATTATTTTGCATAATAAATCGTAACACAGCCACACGTTATTACCAATATATTTAATAATAATATTTATGTTATAAGCTGAAAATCATATGTTATATTAAATATAATTTTATCGTAAAAAATTTATTATGGTCGGTTGATTAATAGCATTTTTCTGAAGATATAGATTTACATAAGGAATAAAAGAGGAATATCTTAAAAGATAAAAATATTACAAGTAAAATTGCCAAGTAAATATGAGTCACTCGGGGTCCTTCCAAGCCTGGATAATATAACAATTTAAATCGATGTATCGGCAAACCAGGAAATGAATGACTATGAACAATGCTTTGCAATCAATAATTTTGTCGACAACTCTATGCATAAATTAAAGATACAGGAAGAGGCCTCATCAGTATCGAAGATTTTAAGTCGGTTATAATGAGAAATGCAAAGCAATGATCGTGACAATCACTCGTACTAGCAGTAAAGTCTACGTAAAACATAAAAGAAGGAACAATGAGGATTAGGCAGGAAGAAAAAATGGCAAAAGAAAAAGTATGCTTAATATTTGAAAGAATTTATTAGAAACTCAAGTCGGTGGAAAAATATGGCCATGGTTACGTAGATGATAAGTAAACAAAGGAAATAGATTTCTTCTTTTCATTAGAGTCGAGAAGAAATGCATGAGGAACAGTTAGGCTAGAACAAAGATCAAGAAAACTGAAAACAACTAATATTGTCCTTGTGGAAAAAGTAATTCTAAACCACGATAAGTAAATGCTATGATCAAGGTATGAACAGTGATTAAGCGGTAATTGTGCAAAAGACTTATGTTCAACTATGTAAACAAATAGCTTCGACACGAACAAGAGAGTATCAAACAAAATAAAAAAAGATATTCATGGATTTTGAAATATACAACGATAACCCCATCTAAGTGAGAAAACCACATCTGGTTGTTTTGAACAAGAAAGTCTACCAGATCGTATAATTTGCTGCACCAGTAAATCAGGGTAAAGATAAAATCCCAAGACATTGCCCAGGAACTAAATAAACCAGAGAACGAAGTTAACCTTCATTGTGGTCTTAATTATTTGGTTTAAATGGAATGGAATCAAAACACTCCTCCATTTGAGATTGGATAATGGGAAATTCTAGCAATGATTGAGAGTGTCTAAGATCAGCGAGAATACTGAAGAGAATGCGAGAGATTTGAAGATAGATAGATAGATAGATAGATAGATAGATAGATAGATAGAAGTGAAAGCGGTATTTCTCAGTAAAATCTTATGCTATAAATCTATGTTGTGATTTTCATATATTTTCTTCCCTTTTTTACGTTACTTGCATCTCTTAAGACGTGCTTAACTTAGAACAACACAAGACGAAAAAGGGGGAAATCTCAACCACCAGAAAGACATATGCAACAAACATGGTGGAATAAATTTATTTGAAATGATTTTACAAAAGAAATTCCGAAATAAAGTCTCATTGTGGTTTTGATTATTTTGATATTCTTATTGATATTTAATATATATATATATATATATATATATATATATATATGTGTGTGTGTGTGTGTGTGTGTGTGTATATGTGTGTGTGTGTGTGGATTAAAATAATGAAAAAGAACAATGATAATTCAGAGTTCTTAGCATTTATTTTTATTTTAAAAAACACTGCTTGATACAACAGAAGAGCATAATGTATAATCATCGTAACACCGAAATTCCCATGTTTCAAAAATGAAACTTCAATTCCAATTTAATCATAAAAATAAAACTTAAAATACAAAGTTCCATTCCATTATCAAGTGATGCTAAGAATAACTTTTTAGAAATTGATTTACTTAATTTATAAGTCTAGACTAATTTGATATTTTGAGATGTTGGGATTAAGGAAAATTCCATCTTTTTTATTTTAGGGGTGTTAAGATTTAACTTATTTAGAAAACTCATGTATCTAATGTGTCCAGTGATAGGACCCAAAGAGTTCAATACCCGGATAAGGCAGTGGAGAACTTGGAGAGGGGAATTAAGAGGAGATAACTGATAACTGACATCTAAAAACGCCTTTATCCACTGTGCCATGTGTCCTTGAGGGTTCAGTTCGACATTCCAACCACCTGAAGAAGGCCGGAGCCAACAACGGCCGAAACGTAATGAATATGGTGACAAAGATGAGGACAATAGTCCGAATAAAGTAAATAGTGTACATCATCTCAGCAATATAGACAGATATGAATATATCTGTACTTGTATTTATATTCTTGTGTATATATATGTGCATATTTATGAATGCTATGTGCTTGTTTATATATTTATGCACATGTATATTTATGTATGTATGTATGTATGTGTGTGTATATATATGAAGGTATCTATGGGTATATATCTGTATATGGGTGTATATGTGTATATTTTAGTGTTTTTAAATGGATTATCTATGCTAACTATAATCTACTTTTGTTTAATAGGGATTTTCAAATTGCTTATGGATTTAATAATTAACAATTGTGTTTCGCTACATTCTACTCTTAAATTGGCTCTGAATCATTTATAGTCATTTTGATGATATCATTAATAGTTTTTTTGTGTGTATGCTTATAAATTTTGTCTGTACATTTGTATATATTTACTTGTCTTTTTTCTTTGCTTTGTTCATTTCCGAATATTTGTTTTCCTATTGAAACTCATAACTTTTATCTATTAAACGCTCTTTTTATCTAAAATATTTAAAATTATTATTTGAATTATTATTATAATTTATAATTTATTAATTTTTAATTAAATTATTTAAATTATTATTTAAATTTAAAATATTACTTACATGGGAAAAGATATATAGTTTTTTTGACCATGTAAGTAATATTTTTATAGTTTGCATTCGCTTACTAATATCTTTAGATTTGAATCTTTGTGGGTTTTGTCTATGTATATGTCTATGTATTTATTGATGTAAGTGTGTATGATTGCCTATATATGCCTTTCTTTGTACGTATATGTGTCTGATATTATATTTCCTTTTGTTGGTCGTGGACATCTATTTCCTGTTTCGTCCGTGTTTTTATTATGATTGTATATGTATTGTCATTTGTTAAATTTCTTCCCCTGCTCATATCATCATTTCAAATGTATCTAAGTTGTTACAATATTTGTATCTCCTTAGATTAGCGTTTGCCCTAACTGAGATTTTGGCTTTTCGATTAAAATAAAATAATAAAATATATGTATTTTTCCTCAGTTCCTTCTTTAAATAATTTATATTTTAAACTTAACACGGGTTAAATTTAAGATTGGTAATTTTTATTTTCAATTTTATAGTAAAATTTAAACTTAATCAGTTAGAATGATTTCTATTTTAGTCTAACATTAATATTAAGGCATTAATTATTATAACCAAGGTTCGTTGTCAAGTTTTTTGAATTTTCATCTACATGTATTTTGATTGGTCATTGCTGCTTGTGTAACAGTGTTTCCCCTATCGAGGGCTGTTTGGTTGATTTGAACCCTTTTAAAACTCTTTATTCTATCTTCAGCATCATCACTTGATAAGACACCAGAAGTGTTGAAACAAAATGGCTATTTTTGTAGTGATGTTATAACATGTCTGTTATAATTTTTGAATAAATTATATATATATATACTACTCCGCAGTGGATTGTCACGGACAACAAAAGGAGAAGATCCACTTTATTTTCATTTTACCAGATGAATCCAAATACAAGTATCTGCCAGTAAATCGGGTAGTTTTAATTTTAATTGTCATGATTTTCCATGATGGCTTTTGCTATTGTTTCAGTCAGGTTTGAAACCATTTCTGTCATCTTCCGGCTCTATCTCTCTATCTATATATCACTCTACCACACACACACACACACACACACACACACACACACACACA